ATGGCAGTCAATGTCCGAAGAAAACAGCACAGTCCCTCCGTCTTCAACTACTTCCCCGGCACGGCGTATTGCGCAACTGCTCCTTACCCGTACATCGCCATTCGTACAGTATAATGTCATACTGTATTGTACCAGGCCCCTTTTTGGCCCCTTTTTCGACGCGTCTCGACACTACCCCCGCGTGTCGCATCTTGCACCACTACTGACACACGCCCCTCCCGTCGTTTCCCACCTGCTCTCGTATTGTAACATTACCGGTTGCGATTCCGGCTCTGTTGCATCGTGAGACCACGTCCGCCTAAACCTCTAAAAAGGGAGCAAAGCGCCCTTGGACAAATATTTTTAATCCGCCCTGCCAGGTGTTGCAACGATATAAATCTTCTCCGATTCCCGATTCCTCGACTTGTTATTTCCTCCCTACCGCCGCCCTTCTTCCGTTCACATAACAACGACAAAACTATAAAAAGAATAAAAGCCATCCTCGTGACAAGCCCAGCCCCGCGTCTTTCCATCTCCTTTCTTTTCCCCAGTGTCTATCGGACCGTTAGTCCCCATATGAGGACAAAAGTTATTTTATTTTTTCTGGACAACGCAAAGCGCGAGTTCACTTCTGTTTTTTTGAAACCAGAAGGCCATCACTGCAAGTAAAGCATTTGCTTGTCGATTCTAGCGAAAACCAACTCGGTGACGCCCATAAAGGTGTTCAAAAGAAACAGTCGGCTTACATTTCGTATTTTTCTTTAAGCTAATGTATAGCAGTAGCATAGAAACATTGCCCTCAGGGCTTTCTATTCGGTTCTAACTTCTGAAAAAAAATAAAACGAGTGAACCTACCAAAGAAAATAGAACCGTGGCCATCAAAGTTGAAAAGAAATAAAATTCGCAGATTTTATGTTATGATAACGCTTGGTAGGATAGACACGAGTCCTTCGTCCTCTCGCGTTTTGCGCGGTTCAACTTCTGTTTTCACTCTTTTCAATTCTTTTCAATTCAAATCCAGTAGCCATCCGCCACAGCCCCCGTCTCTTTCGCGTCTACCCTTCGTCCCACGTGCACTTGCAACAACAAAGACTCCACTCCCTCCCTCCCCTCCTTCCCTCCTCCCAGCCATCTCCTCGACTCACCAACGAGACTTTCGGCAGGGACAAAGCCACCAGAATAGAGCTCGGGCACTACGCTTGTGCATTTGCGCGCATGCCACTTTCATTCCGTACACGTGGAAAGGCCATACATCATCGCTACTACCCGACACTAGGCCTTCCAGACTCATTTACATACCCCCGCCCTCCATCTCAGATCTTAATCAATCCCATCTCCTCGAATTGCCGACTTTCCTCACCCACTGGTACTGATACCATGCTCTCTTTCATACCCATCGCCTCACCGACAGTGCGTATGGAGTCACCGGGATTGGATAAAACACATACGGTAGACCCCTTTGTCATGCTCATTTTGCTTGATTAGAATGGATCAAACCTACCGTTTTGTACGCAGGTCGACCTTAGCTCGTGTGCAGTATTCTTCGCCTTACTGTATCGTACATCTGCGACACCTGTCATACCAAAACCCTGACCACGCCCCCTTTCAACGTGTAGACAGCATGACCTTGCCACATCATTTCCAATGATACAGTTAACTATACCCCATTACGAACAGTATCATCAAGGGCCAACTTTTTCCATTTTTACGGGTATCAAGCATTCCTCTTTCAAGGGGATAATGGGGGCCACATAGGCCCGTTCACCTCTTCCAGGTATCTATATAAAGTACAGTAAAGTACATCATATGTCCTCTCAAGTGTGACTTACCCCTTTGTGCTTTATTTAGTGCACAAGCGCTTCAAACAAAATCGAACCAGCCTTGGCAAGACCCCGAACATAGTTCCCAGTACAAACAGTCTTCTTCGACTGTTTTCAATTTGGGATTTGCCCTTTCTCCAAAGCGCAATCGAAAGAGCACAAAAAAGGGCTCTTCGGTTCAAGGCGGAATTAGCCTTGATCCCTCAAATAAAGAAAAAGAAGAAGAAAGAGCACACTGCTTAGGGCCAAGCCCAAGTTCAAACTTTCTCAATTTCTTGCAAGGGGTTTTAAAAAAGTTGCTCAATTGCAATGCCCTCCCGTGATGATCCTCATCGAACTCTCTTTCAAACACGCTCACGTATATTTTTGGACACAGCTCATGTATATCGAGAGACATCATGAGCCTCTCACATTTAGCGGGCGTCTCAACCTTTGTCCGAGGTCAGAACTTCTTGTTTCTAGAAATACACCCAAAAAACACTATTTTTCAAATTTTAAGTTGTCACAGATACAGTAGTTATGACGACGGCGGCCACCAAAAAAGATGTCCCCCTTCTCATCATCACCGCTACAAAGGGTAACTAACAGATAATGAAAATTCCCGAACCCTTTTCTTTGTGCACAGTGTGCACTACACACTGTACCGTAGTGTGTAGAGCATACAGATGCTTTCCATCATCATCGCGTCCTCGCAATGGATGTTCCTTAAGCGAAATACCCTTAATCATACACTTTCCTGCAGCCTGGCTGCAGATAAAGCTTTAAATCATACATAAATCCGTTCTTAATACTATTGTACAGCGTACAGAAGCATACAAACGATCCACCAGCGTTGCGGTCGCCTGCTAGCATCACAAGGCTTGTTGCTGAACTGTTATTCACTGCAGAATAACTGACAACATGTCGCATACCCTGAACTTTACAAGCAGGGCACTGCGATCGCAGCTTATGAGGACAATCAGTGGGAAGAATGGTACGGTACAGGAAATCCTTGAATGTCTTCTGATCAAAGATCACGGTGCATCAATGGGTTTGAAACATCCTTCCCATCAGAGGGGCGATGCCGCCCCC